GCTTGATTGAAACGTTTTGAGCTTACCTGGTGTCTAACTTGGTTTGCTTAGGGACAAGCAAACGGTTAAGTGTGGGGGTGTTTGATAGACCGATAATTATACATGTTTTCACCCCTTTTCTGTAGCCGTTTGAGATGTGGATTCTAGTGTTTTAAGCCGATATCACGCTAGGGTGTGTGTTTGTGTCATATTTCAGGTCCCGGCGTTGAAATCGAGGCGGAGGAACGAGTTCTGGGTCGAAAGGAGCGAAGTTGGGACAAAGTAAGCCGCAAGAGGAAAATACCCGGTCAGGTGGCCAAATACCTGACCGGGTATTCACTATTTTTGGGCGCCCGAGAAACAGAGAGGGGCCCGTGCAGATGACTTAAATCCCCGGTCGGGGATTATGGAAAGAGACCGGGGATTTTCCCTTGCATGAAACGGTGCGTTCCATTTATACCCGGTAGAGACCCAAAATACCCGACCGGGTATTTCGACCGGGTATCGCGATCAGGCAGCCAATTTAAGGAAGAAGAGGGCCAACATTGAAGGATTCCGAGTTTTTGAGAGAGGAAGCGATCCCTAGAGAGAGAAAGCGACGAACCAGAGTTCCCAAGTGCCATAGCTTGATCTTCATCACCATTGGACCCCGGCTTGAGCTTGGAGAAGTGCCGATTTAAACGTCCAGGAGCAGAAATCCGTCTTCACAGTATGATTTCCGCGTCTGAATCTGCTTTTGCTTCTTTCTCTATGGAGTAGTTCCCCATTCATCTGGGTATGGGGAACCCTAGATTTGTATGCTAGGTCTGATTGTATGAACCCAAGTACAGAGTTTGTGAATTGATTATATTCGATTGAGGTTTGAATGATTGAATGACTTGAATCCTGATCAAATTCCTGTTGTTTCTGCTTTGACCTAGAATGAGAATATCTGCCTAGGTTGATAGAGTATCCTTAATCGAAGGTGGCGAATTGGTGACTTTAGTCGAGGAGCCAATTCGCTATTCTGTACCGAATTCAATTCGGTAGTGGAGGTTTGGTACGATAGGGCCTCAATCTGTTTACTCCGGTGGAGGTTAGTCGCCCGCTAGAGACTCAGATTGAGAGGGTCTGAAGACCTTTAGTCGAGACTTCAGACTATTTAAGAACCTTCCGCAGTATAACTTTCATGAAAACTGAACTTGGTAAATTGCAATACGACTTAACTGCAGTCTAGGGGGAACCATATCCGGGTGACCTCTCTTGACTTGACAACAACCGTTTAACTTGCTTTGTGTTTTTGTTTGCTTGAATCTGCACTAAAAGTTCACTGCTAGATAACGAGAATTCACCGAGTAGTCATCACATCTAGGACCCGGGTTGACAATAAAACCCGAACCCGCTATACTACGCTTTAGGAAGTGGTTACACTTGGCCATTTTCTAGAGTGACAGTAGGAGTGAGTCAGCCACCAACCAAACAAAGAAACAAATCTTTGTAGGAATGGAGCGCCACCAAACGGACTCAAAAGGAAAATCGGGAACACCGGTGAGCTCCTCGCCAGTCAAGAACCTGTACATGGAACGAATAGAGAAGGAAACTTCCGGACAGGGAAGCCAAACCGGCCTAGGAGGCCCGTTAGTCACACGACTGGAGCCCAAAGAATTAAGGAGATCCATAAGAACAACCCTTTCCCTTTCCGCCCCCCTCTAAGATTATTAAGCAAAGGAACAGACCAACAGAGACTCTCACCTGTGAGGGATATGGCATCGGAGACCCTGGCGCTCGGGAAGCAAGAGGCGGCAGCAACCCTTGGGAAAGCATCAGCGAGCACAACACCTGGGATCCAACAATCATGCCAAAGGGAGACCCAATCGCCACTATCGGGTTCAATACTAGTCATTCTCCAAAAATTATCATACTCCTTAGAAATATTAGCCCACACCGAACCAGAGAAACCTTGCTTGCATCTCGCAGTGCCCCACTCAGAAAGATGGTTCGAATATTTGCAGGAAACCAAACCCCTCCACCAACTCTCCCTTTCCGTAGCGAAGCGACACAACCACTTCCCCAACATTGCTCTATTAAAAGCCGCCAAGTCCATAATACCAAGGCCGCCCCGAGAAAAAGGGGCTTTGCATGTATCCCAAATCATCAAAGGCATTTTTTGTCTATCGCCCGATCCACTCCACAAAAACCTTCTTTGGGTACCTTCCAGACTTTTGATAATCGAGGAGGGAGCACGGAAAAGGGAGAAGTAGTAAACAACCTGGTTCGAGAGCACCGCCTTAATCATGGTCAATCTGCCTCCGAAAGAGAGATACCTGCCTTTCCATCCTTCGAGCCTCTTCATGTACTTGTCGATAATAGGATCCCACAGCGATACTGCGTTAGGCTTTGCCCCTAAAGGAAAGCCCAAATACCTGGAAACCTCATTACTCCAGTTACACCCAAAGATAGAAGCAAAAAAACCAGGATCCGGAACATCCCCAACAGTGAACATAACAGATTTATCCAGATTAATCCTAAGCCCTGTGACAACCTGGAAGCAGACAAGAGTAGCAAGGATGTTAACAACCTGCTCATACTCTGCATCAGAGAAAATTAAAGTATCGTCAGCAAACAGCAAATGAGTGACCTCCCCCCCCCCCCCCCCCCCCCCACCGCTCTCCTCGTTCATGCAGAAACCATGTATTTTCCCATTTGCTCTAAGCTTCGAGATCATAAAAGAGAGCACATCCATAATCAATGTGAAGAGCCCCAGCGACAAAGGGTCTCCTTGCCTCAAACCCTTCTGAGTATCGAAAAAACCTTTTGATTCCCCATTCACAAGGACAGAGATTTTTGGACTGCACATAGTACCCTTGATCCACTTATGCCACTGATCAGAGAAACCCAAGTGAGGGAGGATTTGAAACAGGCAATTCCAGTTAACATTGTCGAACGCCTTTTCAATGTCCAACTTGAACATCAGACCCGGTTTCTTGCTTTTCTTTCTGCTGTCAAATAATTCAAAAGCGATTAAGCCGGCATCACCGATCTGCCTACCCGGAACAGATGCGTGCTGGAACTTGGAAACAATCCGAGGAAGGACGCCACCCAGCCTTCGAGAGAGAACGTTACTCACCAGCTTGTTAAAACTCCCCATCAGGCTAATAGGCCGCAAATCCTTAATATCTTCCACCGAATCTTTCTTAGGAACAAGACAGATGAACGAATGAGTGATGCTATTAGGCAGATACCTAGAATTAAAGAACTCCCCGAAAGCATTCATCACATCAGCCTTAATCAAGCCCCAACACTTTTTGTAGAACTCCCAAGTGAACCCATCAGGTCCAGGAGCCTTGCCACCATCACACTCTGCAATACTTTCCCAAATCTCCAACTCCGTGAAGGGCCTACTAAGCAAAAGGATATCAGCCTCGTTGAGCTTGTTGCAGTCGTAAACACTGGGGAAAGGACGAGATTTAATATCCTCTCGAAAGAATCCAACATAGAAGTTCACAATCCCATTGGCAATTTCATCCCTTCCTTCAGTGAGAACCCCATTGATTCTAATACATCCAATGCAATTCACCTTTCTCCTGAAGTTCGCCATTCGATGAAAAAACCCTGAGTTCCTATCTCCTTTTACAGCCCCAGTTCCTTGGACTTCTGCCGCCACGAAATCTCCAGGAGATCAATAACCTTCCCAATCTCAACGAGCAAGCACTCCCTCTTATTAGACTCCTCAATCATCAAGCACCGCGACTCTTCCAGCTGGTTAATGTCATGCACTGCCATAGTAAGCTCCTCAAGCTTCTTCTTCATATCCCCGAAAACCTCCATGTTCCAGACCTTAATCTTGCTTTTAAGAACCTGTAGTTTCCTAGACCACCGAAAAACCCATCCATGACCCTGAATCTGCTCCGCAAGCCCAGAATTTAGATCAGTGGAAAACCTGCCATCCTCCAACCACATATTCTCGAACCTCCAAGGCCTGTGTACTCTGACACTCTCACCCCATCTTAACAGCAGTGGATTGTGATCCGAAATAATACGCTCAAGAGCAGAGAGAGAGCAATCCGGGAATAACTCATCGAAACTAACAGAAACAAAAGCACGATCAATCCGAGAGAGGCAGTTGCTATCTCCTCCTTTGCACCAAATGAAATTACCCCCCCCCCCAAGAGGGAGCTCCAAGAAGCCGCATTCATCAATCACATCATTAAATTCACCCATAAGGTTATTGTTACGTCTAGCACCCCTATAATCATCGTGACATCGCACCAAATTAAAATCACCCACAATGCATATAGGATCCTGACAACTCTGACCGAGAGCACGAAGATCACTGATAAAGTCAAGTTTTTCCTCCCTCTCCTGCGGCCCATACACCACAACCAGATGCCAAGTCTTATGCGTCTCAATTTCTTGGAACTTGACCTGAAGAAAAAACCTGCCCACAGAGCTTGCGAGCGCATTGACAAATAATTTATCCGAGAAGACAACAATCCCACCAGAGCTGCCATCCGCATCTTTGGTCGCCCACCCTGCATCCGAGACCCCGCCCACACTGCGGATCAAAGACTCATCACAGATACTCCATTTTGTTTCCACCAATCCCACAATTTTGGGTCTCCTGTCGCTAACAAATCGCTTAACTCTGGCTCTTTTGTCCCTGTCGCCAAGCCCCCTCACATTCCAAACTAAGACTTACATATCCATGAGAAGCAAAATAACCCATCAATCATCCCTCCTCGCTCGCCGACGAGGCCCTAGGGGAGCCGCCACAGTCGGTCCGAGACGACGTCTTTCCATTTCCAGCTTTGTTCTGCACGGACGAACCTTTCTCTGGGGTAGGTCCTTGGCCTGGCTTCTAATAACCCGCTCAACTTCATCTTGGCCTCCATCACCATCCAACGAAAACATAACCCCCAAATCAACACTTATGGACTCCAAAGTGCCCAGATCAAAGGGAAAAACATCTTGACTCCAAAACCTAGGCTGACTATCAGCAACACAAGACGGGGAGGGGAAATCAAAATCAGGGGGCTCCCAACCTCACGGTCCGATTGCAAAGGGGAGAGCGACTCCGCAACATTCCGCAGGGACTCCGGAGGAGAACCCTCTGCCGCCCCCTGACTGCCCTCCAACATCTCAACACGACTAGAGGGGGAAGAATCCTCTTCAAAATAGATTTGAATAACACCTGGAGAAGGACAGTGAAACACCACCGATATGCCTGAGAACGGCTGCATCATCTTAGAAAATAAAGCCGAAAAGATCCTCCCTGAAACCACAGGGCAAAAAGAAAGTGATAAAAGGGACTGAACCGGTTTACTCGGACGCATACATCTTAGCTCCGACAGAAAAAACGGACCAGGGAATCGCACAAGCCCATCGACAAACTACCAGGCATGGGCCCAGAAGCGGACCCATTGCTATAGATAATTAAACCCGGCCCAGCAGAAATAGACGCAGGCTCGACGAACCTGTCGACCGACTCTGGAGGGGTGGGCCTGAGTAGCGGCCCAAATTTCCTAACCCACACCTTCTTAACCCGTCCTGAGAGATCTCCAACCCTAATAGTGTTTGAGCCTCCCTGTACGCCCCCATGCATGCTCGAAGATCCCTCTAAAGATGGGCGACCCGCCCTCAAAGTACGACGCTTCAAATTCCTCATAGAAACTCGCGAGACAAACTGGCTTTGGGAGCTACCCGTGCTTTGAGAAACCCGAAAATCCTCATGACCTTTCGACTTCTCCCCTCTCTTCCCTTGCTCCGACTCGCGCCTCCCTCCCGACAGAGACGCCGGCAAAACTTTAACATCCACGGTGAACCATTGATCTTCATAAACCAGGGGGATTGAAGATGATGTAGATCCCTTTGCAATCACCTTCATGCGAACACAAGAGGATGCCCAAGAATTCCAATCTATATCCAACAAATTTCCACAGAACTCTCCAATAGTTCTGATAAGATTGACGCTCTTAAGGTGCAGAGGGATTCCGAAGACCAACATCCAACAAGCATCATCCAACCGTGGAGCCCCCTCGTCTATCTCCTTCCACAAATAAGTTGAGACAAGGAAGTTCTTAAACTGATGACCAGCCAGACTATTAATCCTCATTAGTTCGCGTAAGCTTGGGCAGATTAGCAGCCATCTACCATCGTCAAGTTCCTCCAAACCAAAATTAGAATCACTGGCCCAAGTCTTCTCTGCCCATCTCCTGAAAACCGCTCAACTGGTCCCTCGAGAAAACTTCGTGGCCAACCGATTGAAACCTGATAACCAAGCAACGCTCCAGCGTACCGGACCTTTCCGAGACTCCTTCTGACCCACTCTAATAAAAATTCCACTTGAATCCTGTACAATAGAGCAACTACCAACTCCATAGAAGCCCCCACCTCTGACAACATCTGCATAAGATTTTCGCAGAGTATTAAGATTTGGATGTAGCGGGGCCTCAGGCAGATCAGTCGCTGACCCCAAAGTCTCAAACATATCGACACGCAGTTGATGCTCGTCATGATAGAACTCTTGGACGAGGGCGATAACACCTGCCAGCCTTTCGATCTTCCTGCGCTGGGATGAGGACCTTGAAAAGTCGCCCGCTCGGACTCTGCTCAGAGATTTGCAACTGCACACCCCTTCTTCCCAAACCTCTTCCCGATATGGATCGAGCGCAGAACGCTCTTCCTTCACACACCCTGTAGGAAACCTCCACTGCCTCATTGACGCCGTTTGTAGCACCCCTTGAAGCCACGCTAGCTGAACTTCGTCCAATCACAATGGACCATTTTTTGTTCGATTCTTGCACCGAAAGCCTGTATCCGACCGCATCTCCAAACCAAACCTCTGCACAACAAACAACCCTGGATCCCAAATGCGAAGCCCGCCGACACCTCTCTCAAGAGCCGCCACCATTCTCCTTGCTCCGACACTGGGACCTACAACAGAAGAAGGAAACCATATCCCCCTCGGAACCCCGGTGCTCACCCTCTCGGAATCTCTCACACACCTGCTCTCAAAAGATCTCCGACTCTCAGAACTCATATTTTACCGTGATTAATTGTTAGTCACGGATAAATTGGGAGTTTCGTAGATTACTGCATTGGGTTTTCCTGGAAGAGTTATTTCGACTTCACTGTACTGTGGTCTGTGCTAATGAATGATGTTTTAGAGAAATGGAATCGATCTAGTGGTAATTACCAGGATATATGATGGAGCAGAATTCGATCAATACTAATTGTTCCAATACAATAAGAAATTTTTGACAAAAATAAAATAAATACAATAAGAACTAGCCCAATGATGAGAAGGAAAAAAAAAAATCCCCTACTCTTAATTTCCCCTTCACCGGTTCAGTGGTGAGTCCAAATCCAAAGGGGAAGAGCGGGTCATAATGTTTATCCCCAACATTCATAGGCAGCTGATCCACTCTCCTAAACCACGTCCTCGGAAGCTTCCCAGTGAAGCCATAGTCACCAAACAACACATCAGTCACGCCTCGACCTTCGGTGCCGGGGAGCCAAGCCGCCACGAGGCCGTCCATGGAGTCAACGTACGGCTCGATCACCAGCGGACGGCTCGGAGATCAAAACGACGACGCCATTTCACCGATCCGCAGACATTCCGAATGGTGGCTGGGCCGGGATCCGGTATGGTCAGGTTGAGGTTGTCTCCTCCCGTTTCCACATAGGGATGCTCTCCCACTACCACAATGGCGTAGGAGAAGTCGTTGGCCTTCACGTAGTCTGCTGTTGGGGCTTCCTCGTACGTGACTTTGGTGGTCGACCACTGCGGCTTTTATGGCTGTCAGGATTGTCGTTCCTGCAACAACGTAACGTAACAAACCATGCATGCACGTACGTTAAAAAAAAAAATATGACCAAGTCTTCAATGTTGGATGCATTTAATTAGTAATGTCAAGAAGAACCAGCTGATTCCAGCGATTCGATTCGAGTTGTTGGGAGAGATTCAATATCGTCTATTATCGCGTTTACGTACCAGGGGTTCTATCGTTGCCACTGAATCCTTCCCATTCGATGGTCCATCCACCACACTGGTAGCCAAGATTGTGAGCGTGGTAGCCTGCGACCAGTATCTTGGGAGCCTTCTTAGGGAGTGGCAGGATACTAGTACCGTCTTTGCCGTTCTTCAACAGCACAAGCGATTTCCTCACTGCTTCTCTCGCCAGTTCTCTATGCTCCTGTTTAAAAGTAGCTAGTGCGTGTATTATGATATGAATCTCCAATTCGAACCTACTTAGAAAGGAAAGGCAAGGATGAGTAACTTACTTGCTTGCCAAGCTCATTGACCATGCTATCGTCAGCCATTGGGTTGTCAAACAGGCCCAACACGAACTTAACTCTCAGGATTCTCCGTACGGCGTCGTCGATCCGGCTCATCGGTATCACCCTTTGTTCACCAGTAGGGTTAGGTCATCGATGAACTCCGTGTAGTTTAGTGGAACCATCACCTGCAAACACATTAATGATGAGTTGTTATTATCATCAGACAAAAAAGCTGCATGCATGCATGCACGCATGTTTACTACGTCGAAACAGATGAAGATTGGAGTTATCATGGTATATACCATGTCAAGTCCAGCAGCAACTGCTTTTTCTACGGAGTAAGTGTAGTTGGCGTGTGGCGGGTCGGTGAGCCTGTCGATTCCTTGCCAGTCAGAGATCACAAACCCCTGAAACCAAATTAAAGCAACAAACAACACCAACATCGATCGATCGATCAGATTTGCCATGCAAAAACATATATATATATATATATATATATATACACTCATCCATCGATGGATGGATGGATTACAAATCGTGAATGATTTTCTCAAGTACCTGAACTTGAGAGTGTCCTTGAGGTAGGAGGTGACGAGGTTACGGTTGGCGTGCATCCGGACGCCGTTCCAACTGGAGTAAGAGACCATGACGGTGGAGACACCTTTGACGATGGAGGCGAAATAGGCAGGCATGTGGATCCTTCTCAGGCCGTTCCAGTCGATGATGGTGTTGTTCTCGTTGATCCCCTTCACCGTCCCGCCGTCGCCCACAAAGTGCTTTGCGCACGCTGCCACTTTCCTCCTGTATCAGTATCAATCAATTATTTCACCCCCTCCAAGAATGTTAGCCACTACTTTCTGCCTCCCTTTTTTTGATTTTTTTGAACATATTTGTTGTTTGTATGTTTTTTTTAAATGACATTTGTGTATGGTTTTTGTCCTCATGTATAAAGGCAATTAATTAACTAATAGGTTACTCAAGTGCTACTAGAAATCACAGGTGTCGATAAAGAAAAAAAGGGGGTTTTTTATAGGAAGCTAATGCCCACATAAAAAAAATGGTGCGCGCAGATCTTTCAACTTAAAAATCATGCACCCAATTTGTGTTATAAAAAAAAAAAAAAAAATCCAAGCAGGCAAGCACCCAATAACCCAAGAAAAAGAAACGTACACGCATATATACATCATTCATTTGGTGAAGGAGACAATCGCAAGTGGGCAACTATGGTGGTGCTTTATCAGTAAACATAACAAATCGACTGAATTTAAACCTAATCTAAATAAGCCAACAAGCCGATCAAAAATGAAGTACCAATCAATCAAAATAATGAATTAGGGTAATTTACTCTTAATTAACGCTACCAATATTAGTTGTAGGGATCACAATTTAAATCATGGGGTGGGCTTCCCCTAGCTCCTACCCTTTAAATAAAAAGAAGAGAGCAAATTAAATTAATTAATAATATATATATATATATTGGATTGGAGACTTACTTTCCAGCAACATAAGGGACTCCCTTGCGGGCGTCAGCAGGAACATCTCCTTGCAGGCCTGGGATTAGCTCCGTCATTGCTTTCACTATCTCCGAATCCTCGCTGTAGCTCTCGTAGCACCGCCCCCATCTCGGATCTCTGCACACCTGCAAACGTAACGTAACGTAACTCCACATTATTCTTTCTGTCAAAGACCGATTCTTACGCATATTATTAACGGAACATCACAGGATAGACTTGAATTAAACCTAATAATGAACTCACCGCGATACAGGGCGCAAAAGCGTAAGGAATTCCGGTGGCTCTCATTTCCAGCGCCGTCGCTGCTCCTATCTTCTTTACCAGCGCTGGCTCTCTGTCCAAAACAATCATCCAGCTCATCACGCGCCGCCACAAATAATAAAAGGAAGGGGGGATCGGAGTGATGAAATTGAAAACTGATCACTCAGTCACCTGGTAGCTCCGAGGCCGATGTTGTGAGGGAAAATGGTGGCATTGTACACATTGTTGTGACCATGAACGGCGTCGATCCCGTAAATCAACGGAATCCCTAGCCTGGTCGACATGGCGCCGCTTTGGTACTCGTTGACCATCTTGATCCATTCCTCCGGCGAAGCTTTCTGGCCCGGACGCTTCCTCCTCCGCTCAATATACTTCCTGCATGTCCCTCCAACCAATAAAGTTGCAGTCTTTTTTTTTTTTTTGCCCTAAAAAAAACAGAGCAGAAGCAGCTCGATCTGTTTTTTTCTTATCGTCGTCTTACCGATGAAGTAGTTTTTCACGACGTCAGCTGAAGCGACTTGCGATCAATCTGAACCATCTGGCCGATCTTTTCCTGCAATGTCATCCGCCCCATCAAGTCCCTGATCCGGCCCCCCATCGGTTTCGTTGGATCTCTGTAACGCCGGTACTCTGCATCTGCCGCCTCCAAAAACAGAGCAAGCACTAGTATTCCAACCACCAAAACCGGACTCTGTTTTTTCCTCGTCGCACCGATTCGGATCATTCCCATCGTGACGCGGCCGCCCGACACACGGATTCTGAACAATGGGAAAATGAAAGAAATCAGAAAAAACACAGGCACGAGTGAGGCGAAGCTCCGGAAAGAAGTTACACGTACGGGGGAAAATTACAGAGAAACGTCCTAAACGAGAATACAGGAGGAACTGAGAGTTCAGTTAAGTGAAGGAGTTGATGGAGATGGGATTGAGATGGTTTGTTTGCACGAATCCACGTATATATAACTACTGATCTTCTTGTATTTTTTTATGTTTCAAGATAAATACGCAATTGGATTGAAAGTTATATTTGGTGGGTTTGAATAGGTAATCCTCACTCGTCAGCTACCGTTTTTCAGTTTGCTTCTTATCTTGTTTTCTTTTACTTTTCCATTCCGCTCATTTCTTATCATTTTGTCCCCACTTTTGGTGGGGGATGTTTATCCTTGCCTAACATAAGAAAAATAGGAAAATCTACTATTATTATTTACAGCAACGTGAAGATATTGGAAGGGTTGTAAAAAAAAAAAAGATATTGGAAGGGTACTAAACAGATCATCACAAGAAGGGGAAAAATAAAAAAAACCGTTTAGCTTTTTGTTATTGGGTGCAATCAACGGACAATATCCACATTTTTAAATACAATTTTTAGTTCATATGTGACATTGACCTTCACATCAATCATTTTCACTACATATCGATTTCATTTTCACTACATGAATGAAATTCACTTTCTATTTTATATGGTCCACGCAACTAATTTTTTTTAATACAACTATACATTTTATCTATATTTAATACTTTATTCTGATCCGAACTATACCCAAGTAATCAAATTTGGCCTATAATTTTAGAAATTGCTATCCTGACCTCAATTATACACAATATAGACTAATTTGGCTCGACTCGTGAATTTTCGTCAAATTAGACGGCCAACATCATTAACCGTTAGTGAATCAACATGCTATGAATTTTCGTCAAATTAGACGGCCAACACCATCGACTCGTGATTTATCTTCTTCTCCTTCCTTCCTAATCCTCTGCTCCTCACTTACTGTATACTTCGTTAAACCTACAATCTCATAGAGTGGAGCCCCTCTTACAAATATGGAAATCTCCATATCTGCCAATGCCAGGAGGGATTGAAGAAACATCGCAACGGCGGCGATAATGAATCATGCTATATATGTTATCCGTCACTCCTTCTTCTTCCTCTTCTGCCTCCACGCTAGCGTTGTTCTCTCATTTCATCAACCCTTCGCATCATCGTCTCACTCCCTCCCTCTCGTCGGTGTGTCAGAGTATCCATTCCTCGTAACTCAGCCGCTTAGGTCGGCTAGTTCCGCTGTAATCCTGGCTGGAGCTGTTGCGGCTGGGTATGTTTTGGGGCTGCAATTCGGAGGGAACCACCACAACCCTTTAAATAAACATCTGACGATAATCAGGATAAACCTCGAACGCATGAATAAAAACCATAATCCTTTCAATGCACACGTAAAAAAACAACTAAGTAAACCATCCAACAAAAACAGAGAAATCACACTAATAACATAAATCACCACACCAAAAACAGAAACTGAAAGCACTCACATCTTCTATTGTTGAACACCTTCCAATTTGGTCTCTAAATGAGGTAACTTTGGAACATCTCCTTCAAGCTCCTCTATAACTCTTTTCTCTTTTCTACTATTGACATTCCCATTCTGCATCACTTGAGTTGACGTTTTTGCTTCATTCTCTACTGCATTTGCATGATAAATTAAATATGTCTCTGGATCAGTACTTCAAACATATTGGTAGCTTCACTATACAATCTATGCTTGCATGTAGGTATCGGAAGCTTCCGGCAACAGTTCGCCTGGTCAAGAATCGAAATCTGAAACATATACAAACATACAAAAGTCAATAACCACCACGGAAGCATACCAAAAACCTTTTACCATTCACCACAATATAGGAAAGCATCCCACGGTAGGGGGGAAAGTGAAACCAAACCACAAACAATCTGAAGCACATCACTTGGGTACTTTGAAGGTCATTGCACAGCTTCTACCATACTATGATTGAAATTATCAGCCACGTGCTTACAAAAATTGTACTTAATAAAATCATCAAGTATATCATATTGCAAAAATCGAAGATAACTAAGGTTGGCCTTCTGATTGGCGATGGGACACAGCAACACCTCCATTGCCTACAAAACAAACAGGTCCCTCCAGTTCTTCATGTCCTTCTCTTCTTCCCAACAAATCTTGATGTTGCCAGAGTTTCTTTCCCTTTCCTCGTGTTGGATAGTCCTAATTTAACACCTAAGGCATTTCTCTATGCCTTAAAAGCAGCCAAATCAACATCATAACCCATAAATCCTGTCCACATACTCCTCTCCCATTTTGAAGATGAACAATGCATGCCAGAAAAATCAAGGACGAAAACAACAGAACGCATACCTAAAAACTAAGTTATAGTGAACGATGTAACACCCTAATTAACCCGGCTGGTACTACTTTTACTAAAATGCCCTTGATAAATAAAATATTCCAATCTTAAATTTCAGCGAGAAGAATTTCATAAATAAAAACTGAAAAACACACACTTGGAGTTTAAAGCAACGCCCTAACACAAGGGCAAACTCAATACTTAAAATCTCAACATGATCTCCAGTCTATACTCATAATCATAAATGTAAATAACTAATAATCTCTAATGTTGTTGCTACTGAAAACCTTAACTAAGCATCCTCCGTGACGCTTATACTGCTCTCCTCTAGCTACCTGCCCTCGAACTCGCTGCTCACTAACGACTCCTCTAGCTCTTCAAACTGGTGAGTGAGATGGGGTCAGTCTACGCCCTTACGTTTAACATCTTATTAGTACTTGATCACTTTACTTAACTTAGTGGAAGTTGTTTTGTACTTCCACCATTAAAAACCTTGACTCTTAAAACTGTATCCTTAAAGCTCAAATCTCCACTTAAATTTTTGACTGACACGGGGATCCCTCACTAGCTAGTCCGGTTGCCAACTCATACGTATGAGAAGCCATCATGACTTTCCTTAAACTTATCGTGGAAGACTCTCTTTCCACGATTCTCAAGAGCATAACTGCTGCTCATCTTAAAAGTCTCAAGAGCATAACTGCTGCTCTATCTCAACATCTCAAATGGCAACGGACTGGTGCTAGTGACTAAAAACTCTTAAAACGATTTCACCTTCTTGAAGGTGAATTATTTCTTTAAAAGAACTTGTTTCTTAAACTTTAACAATAACTTATACTTAAGAAAATTTCAAAGCAAATAACAACCATTCACTTCAAGTCATAATTCAAACAAGGCACATATCATCAACCGTAATCATGCAATCTCAAACATGAATCAAATAATGCACATACATAACGTAAATCAATACTCGAAAAATACTCAAGGAGGAAAATTCTTGAAGAACAGGTAAGACATACCTATAAATCCTTCCCACCATTCATTGGCAACCTCCAATGTTTTGGTGGTTTCTTAACCCCTCACATCACCTATGCACCTTGGACGTATATCGGAAAAAACTATCTACATTATTCGGTATACGAGACGTTAATGCTTCTCTTGAACCCCAAGGTTACATATGGCGGATTATCCTCTATCCAGTCAGATGGTAAAACTCCTTTAACGTAACTCTCGTCCGGAGTTGACCTCATAGGTCACCTAGGTCCTTGTATCTCCTAACTTTGCATTTCTTACTTTCTTTACTCATGACCATTCTTCCTGATGTTCCTTGCTAGTTCTAGATGTCCCTCGTCCTCGATGTAGTCATCTGGGTGCCCATATTCTCTTTTCACTTAAGTAGCTTGACCGATAAGGTTCTTGCTTCGACCATTCTTGAAAACCATGATTCCATCTTAAAAATGATCGAAATTTCGCGATGGACTTCCCAGGGATCAATTGTTATCTACTGGTAGTCAACCTAATGCTTCTTTGTTGTTTGTTGCATTCCTGCTTTGGCATGTCTTAGCTATCTTCCTTGACGCATACATCGCCCGGTCGATGACCACCATTTTCTTTCTATAACGTCCTATGGTGTCCTCTTGCTTCTTTACTTTTACTGTCCTTCTGTTGTTGCTTTGTACTATATTTGGTTACCAACCACCGTTGAGTATCTTCTCATTTTTTTTTTTTGGGTCCAAGCTTCCAATAGAGGATTTCCCTTGGTAGGATTTAACATACCTCATTCACGTCATTGTCCCGATTGATGCTTGTATATGGCCTTAATCCCTTAGTCTGGGTTCTTAGTGGCTTAACTGAACGTGTTCTTACTTATCCTTAACTAACCGCTTCCTCTAGATGACATCCTACTATGCCGCTCTCACCCAGAGTGGGGCACCTTGGATAATGTAACTTAATGATTTCCTCCTTCCCGGTAATGCTTTTCCTCGTCTTGCTCCACTATGCAGTTTCGTGAACTCGAGTCACCTACAGAAATTCTCAATCCTTTATCGGAACTTCCATGTGCTTCCTCGAATTCTCTATCATTCATTAGAACATTTATTGAACGTTCCAGTTACTTGTCTATACTCGGTTGGCTTAATGACTTACTCCTATAGCTAGTTTCGAGACTTCAGCTCTTAGCCTTCTAGTACCAACTTATTAGAGAGGTTCCTCCTTATGTCACCCCTCATGTACCCTAGTCGGCTAGGTGCTCCCTCCATTTAGGATAGGACAATCCCATAACAGATCATCGTGAACTCTTGCATTCCCCTTTCAACGGTCCCAACATCCTCTTGACCCTTTTGTGATCTGGGTAGTTTGTAGGGTCTCTAATAACCTCTTTCTAACTCGGGGTTATCTTGGTATCCAACTCACGCACTGCAGAGAAGCGGTTCTCTATTCGTACTACCATTTACTAGCTAACTGTTATTCCCTCTCACATTCCACGTCTTTTCTTATGTATTGACTCCCCACTGTCTTCTACCAGGCATGCTTTAGACTTTGGTGGCACTTTCCTCCACGTCTCGTCCAATGGTGGTCGTACCGAGACCATAACTTGTCCTCTACATCATTTATCTCGTTGCTTGTCTTGTTCCTTCTAAAGGGTTTTCATCGGCCTATCTTCCCAGGGTTATATACCATCATCTCGAGTGACGTAGTTTAT